TTGTTATTGTTTTCTCTGTTTTTTTGTTTTGTGTTTTTTATCTTTTTTTTTTCCCTTTTGTTGTTGTTGTTTTGTGCCCCCTTATTTGTTGTTTTATCTCCGTTTTTTTTGGTCGTTATATCACTCGTATTCGACATAAACGGATTTTTTTGTGTGTTCGTGTTTTGTTGAGCTGTGGCTTCGCTCATTTCGTCGATTCCATTCGCGTTTCTGATCTCAAAGTAAATCGCTTCTTTGCGTCACTGGAACTCAAAATCAGTTTACCACGATTTACATTTATTAATTCAAAAGATATTAATTCATCTTTATCAGATAATAAAACTGATGATGATATGATAATAATAATAATGATAATATAATAATATAATAATAATAAATGATAATGATAATGATGATAATCATGATAATGATAACAATAGTAATGATAATGATAATAACAATAATAAGAGTAATGATGATAATGATAATGATAATAATAATAACAATGATACTAATAATGGTAATAATGATAATAATAATAATATATAATGGTAATAATGATAATAATAATAATAATATAATAATGAAATGATGATGATAATATAATATATGGTAATAATGATGATAATAACAATATTGACAGTAAATGACAGATCAGATTGGCAAAGCTTTAAAAAATCGTGGATGAACGAGCGACGCATGCATCAATGTCAGGCCTGTGATTGACTGGCATGTGGCATGACACGTGGAATTATGTTGTTGATGACTTTGAATAAATGGATGTATGATTTTTTTTTTTTTTTTTTTTTTTTAGATTTTTTACTTTTTTTTTCTTTTTATTAAAATTGGAGAGGGAGGGGAGAGGAGGGAGGTGGCTTGGCTTGGCTTTTTGTTTTTGTTTATGTTTTGTTTTTATTTGCGAAAAACATGATAGGTATTTTGTCTTAAAAGGTGTGTGCTTATTCTTTGATTTTGTTATTTTTGTGATAGATATCGTGATAGTCCTTAACCTTCTTCTACTCCTACTCCTCCTACTCCTTCCTACTCCTCCCTCTCCCTACTCCTACTCCTCCTCTTCCCTCTCCTTCCCTCCTCCCTCCCCCTCCTCCCTCCCTCCTCCCTCCCTCCTCCCTCCCTCCTTCCCCCTCCCTCCTACCTCCTCTTCCCTCCCCCTCCTTCCCCTTTCCCTCGCACCATCCAAAGCCTGTTCTCCATCATACAAAATCTATCACAACACGAAATACACAAAAACCACTTTTTTCCATCCACTCTTCCGTGACTGGAGAATGCGTGAGGAACAAATGAACATTCGGCCGGTGACTGTAATGTTCAAGGTCAGTCGAGTCACTGACCTGTGTTGATAACCTTCCTCTCGTTCGTGTGAGGGAGGGAGAGAGGGAGGAGGGAGGGGGAGGGAGGGAGGAGAGGGAGGAGGGAGGGAGGGAGGGGAGAGGGAGAGAGAGGGAAGAGGAGGAGAGGGAGGGAGGGAGGGAGGGACGGAGGGAGAGAGAGAGAGAGAGAGAGAGAGAGAGAGAGAGAGAGAGAGAGAGAGAGAGAGAGAGAGAGAGAGAGAGAGAGAGAGAGAGAGAGAGAGAGAGAGAGAGAGAGAGAGGTGAGCCCATGTGTGTGTGCGTGTGTGTTCTAGGTACTTTCAAGGTCAGTTCTTCCTTCTACGGCTTCCTCTTCTGTTTACACTTCATCTTCTCTGTGCACCCTCTTTTTTATCTACCCTTTCCTATCTTTATTTTCCTTCTCCTTTCTCCCTTCTCCTTACTTCCTTGATCTTAATCTCTCTCTCTCACTTTCTCTCTTCTCTTTCCTCTAGTTTTATCCATTTATCTACCTCTCCCTTATCCGTGTTTTTCTTTCCATTTTTTCTTCTCCTTTTCTCCCTCTTTCTTCTTCTCATCTTCTTTTTCTTCTCCCTTTTTCCTCTCCCTCCTTCTTCCATCTCCATTCCCTCGCTTCATCTTTCTTATTCCATTTTTTTTTCTTCATTTCTTCTTTTCTCTTCCCATTCCTTCTTCCCCCACTATCCATCTCCTTTACCCTCAGTTTCTTTTAAATCCTCCATTCCTCCTTTCCTACCTTCACCTACTCTTCGCTTATTATCCAGCTACTTCTCTTCTACGTTTTCCCTCTCCCCTCGCTTTCTCTTTCATCCTTCTCCTCTCTCTTATTCTACCTCATTCTCTGTTTCTCTCTGTCTGTCTCTGTCTGTCTCTGTCTCTGTCTGTCTCTGTCTCTGTCTCTCTTTCTGTCTGTCTCTGTCTCTCTCTCTCTCTCTCTCTCTCATCTCTCTCTCTGTCTCTCTCTCTCTCTCTCTCTCTCTCTCTCTCTCTCTCTCTCTCTCTCTCTCTCTCGCGTCCCACTCTTCTCGGTATACACTCATCTTCATCATCCCCCCCCCCTCCACCCTCCCTCCTTCTCGGCATAACTACAACGCCCTTATGACCTTGGTTCTTGTACTCATGTGTTTGTTTGTTTGTTTGTCTTTGTTTGTTTTTTTGTCACTTTTTGTTTGTTTTTTTGTGTTTGTTTGTTTTTCTTTGTCAG